ATATATATAAATTTAATGGTTTAAGGATTATATGGTATTTCTGACAAAGTGATATTAATATCAATGATATAAATTACAAATATGTAATTTTTAATGTCAATGTGTTTTGTTATTTTAAGTACTCTTGAAATAACTTTTAATATTTGAAAACATATAATGTAACTTACTGTCCATCTTCTTCGTTTTGTTGATTTATGAATTTATATTTTTTTATTAAAAATATGCACTTAATTTTTCATAATGATCTCTCTGAATATATCTACTCGTGTCATATCTTTTAAACTCTCCTTTTACAGAAAATGTTTTACTCGTGTCAATGTAACTTAAATGCACCTACAACCCGATGCACATTTTCTACTTTAGACTTAGTGGTTTCCTCCCTATGATTCAGCTCAGCTGTTGGATTAATCTTTAGGTACTCATATTTTTTCTTTCTGTTAATTTAGGCTTATAATCAATAGTTAAAGATTCTTTTAGTTTTTTTAATTAGTTTTGGTATTGTATAGATTTTTGGAGTGTTTTTCTTCTCTTCGTATAATCGGTTTCATTCTCGCAATTGCCATAGATATAGGTAAATTTGATGAATATTTAGGACCCAATTGGTAGGCTTTTATTTCTTTAGTTTCGGCTTTTTGGATTTCAAATTAATTTTGCATATTAATATGTAGTTATGTAATCATCGTTGGTTGTTAGTGTTGTTCAGTAGTTGAATAAAGTTTTCTCTTTCATCGGTAGCAGTAGTTTGAATGGTGTGCATGCAGTTTTTGTTTTCGATTTCACTGTTTTGAAATTGTATAATTTTTTTTTTTAGTTTCGGTTTAACTTTATTTGTCATTAAATGATATTTAGGTTAGGATTTTGATTTTAATTTATGTTAGTTGTGTAAATAAATTGACAAATAAAGTTTATAAAATTATTATCTTATTATTTCCTTTAATGACAAAAGAATTAAAGGATTTATGGATTTTAATTATTTAAACTGGATAAATTGATTATTTATAGATTTTACAGATTTAGAAATAAAAAATTACCATTAAATTATGGAATGATGTGCTTGTAACACATGGACTTGGCTATCTAATTTTTCGTCATGTAGATTAACCTATCTAATTTTACGATATGTGTCCGATTAAATAACGGATTGATGTGATTGCGACATAATATAATGTTGATTTCATTTATTTTTTTGTTGTATAGCCTTCCACTTTTTTTTTTCTAAATTTGATCATCTATCTTTAAAGATTTATTTATTGAATAATTTGTAATATTTATTTCATTATTTGTTATTATGGCGGTTTCTTTTTTCATATTTTCTTATTCTCTACATATTTTTTTTCCTTCATATAATTATTTTTAATTTCTCAATATGCTTTATGCTTTTCTTATACTATTTGTCTATCAAAAAGACCTTTGTTCTTCTTCTTTTTTTTTTTTTATCATATATCTACATTTTATTTTATCATTTTAAAGTTAAATTTTCCTATCATTAGATGATATGGAAAAATATATAATGAATTGTTTAATTATTTTTTTGTATTTTTCTGCAAATTAGTTTTTCCTATTTTTTCTTATTTGATACTTACTTCTTATTTTTTATTATGTTTAAATTTTAAATCAACACATGCGGACTAAACAAAAAAATAGTATATAAGTTTATAATGTGGTGGTGTATCGGGGAAGGAATAATAAGACTAATCTTATTATATATTAAGGAAATTTTTTTCACAAGACATATGTCAGTAAATTAGGTCATCGATAATTTCTAATTACGCGTGTCATCTTCTCATTCGTAGAGACCTTATGTAGTGCACGTGACATCTTCTAATTCGCGGATTTTTTTACTGGTATTTTATCCAAGTAATAAGGTTAATTTAAACACAATCAAATGGTTATTTTCTAAAAAAGGTAACTTCATTTGAATTAGGCTTTTGACGTCTACGATCCCTAAATCATCAATTTGACTAGAAAAAATTCTCCGGGCACAAAGATCTCCGAACACGTCGCTTAGAGATTTTACTTCATCGCTGGATCATCTCAGGCTAAATTCCGTTAATTGTTATTCGAAACGCTGGATGTAGATGATAAACGACTGACTGTATTTTCGAAATCGCCGACTCATCCTTGCCGCTCAATCCCATGTCGTTGTTTCATTTGAGATCCTGGATTATACCGCCGATGTTGTCGCCACCGACGCCCTCCGCCTCCCCAAAGCCGTCAGTTCCCACATCACCACCACGGGCAGCCTTCAAAAAGAGGAGGCAAGGAGACCCCAAACAAAGAAAATAAAACAAAAAGAGGAGGCTTGTCACGAGATACATTATGTAGAGAAAATAAAAATGGGAATTCATTGTATATTAAATCTCATTTTGATACTGCTTAAAAATTCCATGTGATTCCCAAATTCACAATTCCTTAAATTATACAATAGAACATAAATTATTGAAAATAGAAAATCAATTTTGACTCATCGGCGAAGGGCAAGAGGTGTAAAATTCATTAAATTCATCTAGACTGAGAGGAATGTAAACATAAGCAAGATATAAAAAAATTTATTAGATCATTCATTACATTATTTCCATATAATATAATGGTAAAAAGTTAAGGTTATGATAATAAAATAAAAAGTAGCTCAATTGGGAGAAAGTTTTCAAAAATGAGAAAAAGAATAAAGTTTTTGTGAGAGACATATATTACAAGAAAAGCATATTGAGAAATTAAAAATAATTATATGGAGGAAAAAATTATGTAGAGAATAAGATAATATGAAAAATGAGACCGAGATAATAGTGAAAAATAAAATAATTATTATAAATTTCTCAAGAAATGAATCTTTAAAGAGAAGTCATCAATTTTATTTTATTTTTTTAAAGGTGAAGAATAACAAAGAAAAAACATAAAGTAAAGACTATGTTATAAGAACAATATAAGAACTTACAAAGATAGGTTATAAAATATATATATATAGAGAGAGATGAATAACAAAGATTAATTTATGGAAAGAAAGAGAAAATTTTCTGTTAAGAAGAGAGTTTTAAAATTATGATACGTGTAGCAATATTTAAAGAAATCATTATAAAAATTAAGAGAATACTTTTAAAAGATATAAAGTCATAAAATCAACAAAAATGAAAAGGATGGACGATAAGTTACATTAATTGGATGATTTCAAATATTGAAATTTGTTCTAAATGTACTTAAAACAACAAAACACATTCACATTAATAATTACAAAATTACAATTTATATCATTAATATTATTTTTTTTACATATATTACTCCGTCGAAAATGTCGTATAATCGTTAAATTATTAACTTCATATATATTTTGAACAACCCGCACAACGTGCGGGATAAACACTAGTATATATTAAAGGAATTTTTTCAGAGACACGTGTCATTCAATTAAGATATTAATAGCTTCCAATGGCACATGTTAATATTCTATTGGTGGACCATTTTACTGTATATATAAAAAAGTAAAAAGATTAAAATATTATATTTTTGCTAGTTATCTTTCATGACCTATTAACAATTTCCCCAATTTAATAACAAAAACAATATCAACGATGACCATGACTTCGAATCCTCCTTCTAATCTTCCGACTAAACTCTATCGACGACGCTGGCCATTACTAGATAAATCCACTGATCATTTGTTATTGACAACACGTCCATCAACAAAAACCATTGCAGGTTTTTAACTAATTAAAGATTTAATACCTTTTATACATGAATGTGCAAAGTAACATAGTATTAAAAGTAAAAATGAAGATGTTTGAAGAGCCAGTTCTTCTTCTTCTTTTTTTTCTTCTTTTTATTTTATTTTTTGGTTTAACGAGGGTGTCAAAATTTCTAAAATAGCAAACAAAATAATTACAAACTTTTAACATGTCCAAAACTCGGAACCTTTTAAGTGAGAACACAGAGTGATATGTTGTTAAAGATAAAATGAAGATGGAATAAGACCCACTGGTTCTTTAATTTTTTTTTTGATCAACGGGTTGTTATAAATACTAAAATAGCAGCTAAAATCATTGCAGATTTTTAATCTACCGAAAACAAGGAACCTTTAAGTAGGACAATACAGACTGACATGATGTTAAAAATATAAAAGAAGATGGAATGAGACCTGTCGATTTTTTATTGAAATGGATTGTCAAAAATACTAAACTATTAATTTATCGATAAGTATCGTCTTTGAACAAATAGTTCTTTCTTATTCTTCTGTTTTTTTTCCTTTCGGGAATAGCAGACAAAACAATTACAATATTTAAACCTACCAAAAACTCGAAACCTTTTAAGTGAGAACACAAAGTGATATGTTGTTAAAGAGAAAAATGAAGATGAAATGAGATACACCAATTTTTATTTTTTTTTTATTCAACGGAAATCATTGAAAATTTTTAACCTACTAAAAACATGGAACCTTTAAGTAGGACGATACAGAGTGATATGATGTTAAAAATATACAAGAAGATGGAATGAGACATGTCGATTTTTTATTGCAACGGGTTGTCAATAATACTAAACTATTAATTTATCAATAATTATCCTCTTTAAACAAATAATTCTTACTTATTCTTTTTTTTCTTTCAGGTTCAATGGGGTGCCAATAATATTAAAATAGCAGTCAAAATCATTTCAGGTATTTAACCTACCAAAGATTGAGAACCTCTTAAGCAAAACGATGCAGAGTGACATGCTATTAAAGATTAAAATGTAAATCGAATGAGATCTTCTATATTTTTTTAGTTTAACGGACTGTCAAAATTATTTAAATAGCAAAGCTTTATTTTTATATCTAATTTCAATAAATATTATTTAAATTTTTTTTATTGCGTGTTTTTATGTCTTATGAATTAAATTAGATTAAATTTTCTAATGTTATTTTTTTCCATGTATTGTTATTGGCAACCTGTCCATCAACCAAAACCATTGCAGTTTTTTAACCTATTAAAGATTTAAAACCTTTTAAACAGGAATATGCCAAGTGACATGGTATTAAAAGTGAAAAAAATGTGATTAGGCTGCCAGATTTTGACAAAATTAATTTCTGAAGAATGCACTTGTTTTTGTGCAAAGGAAACACTTAAAGCAAGGCTGCTTATTTGAAATTTGAGTGAATATAAAATAACAAGAATAAAGATTACAAGAGCATTGATCACAGATCTCCCTCCTTCCGTTTCTAATAATCATTCATAAGCCATAATTCGAACTAAATTTATATTTAAACAAAAGCCGATTCCTCATTCCTCCTCAATCAACATCTATCATATATGCCAAAAGAAGAAAACCCCTCTAATTTTCATGATTTTTGTTTGTATCAGTTTTTTCTGCTTTTGGCGGTGGCAGATGACCATCTTCATTAGCATCCGTCTTAGTAGCATTAATTTTGGCTTCTGGAGTTGGCAGCGGCGGCGGCGGCTGATCTTCACGGGTGCGCTTGATTTGGCGCACATTCCAAACGTCATCGTCCCAAACAACTTCTTCGCCGTCACCATGCATAACGTAGTTGAGGAGCTCATTCACGTCCATCTTTTCCTGAATCTCGTAAACCCGCCGGATCTTTCTCTCATCGACGATGTATCGGGCCCTTTCGCAATGTTCCTCCCATTCCGGAAACTCTTTCAACTTCTCAATCGCTCCCGTCACCAACGAGGCGTGCAAATTCTTCCCCTTATTCATCGTACGGCCGCCAGCCGCCTCCGGTGGTGGCGGCGTTGATGGCGTTGTTGGTGGTGGTGTCGATTGGTTCTTCCCCAGATTTATCTCTGAGGAGGGTGATGCCATTTCTTTTCAGAATGATCTTTCGGCTACCTCTTTGTTACATCTATATAGTGCGATATTAAAACGGTCCATAGATTATGTAAATATGAAGGGGAAAAAAAAAATGTCAATTGAATGCGGTTTGGTATAAACGCTAATAAATAATTATTATGATTTCAATAGTTATCCATTTTATAACTAAAGTTGGAAACGTTAAAAAAAATTGTGAATTTCTACTTTTTTTTTTTGTTTTCTTGAAATGGTTGTTTTTTTGTTAGTAGAAATAATGGAATAATCGTACATGGAACGGATCTGTATTAATTGCTATTTGGACTTTTAAAAAAATGAGGTTGAATTGAAGGATATACAGTTCACATTCTTTTCATGTATCATCATATAGTGCTGCACTAAACAGGTGATCCACCACGGTTTAAGGAAATTGGCTGTTTTGGCGGAGATTTCTGTTTTAAGAAGGAAAAAACATAAAAGACAATATGTCAAAGGAAATGTTTTGGGAGGGAGATTAAGAAGGAATTTAAATGTTTCTTCGGTCCCAAAATGATTTTATGTTTGTGTAGTGAATGGAATAAACATTGAAGGGAAAAGTTCTTCCACATATTTACAGTAGAAATTGGAAGAATTTTTCAATCTAAAGGATAAACTTGAAAATAAGCATTTATTAGAAGATCATCATAATGCACTCCATAAATATGATGCACATCTACATATATAGGTTACTACTTAATTTCCCGACTTAAAATAACTACATAGGGTACTATTAATGTATACTTAATTTCCCTACTTAATTGAATAAAGTCATACTCCCTTTGTCTCAAAGTTTAAATTTTCATTTTTAGTTTAAATTGTACTAAAACCGAAATCTGAAACTGGATTTTGGAACAGAGAAAGTAACATATTTCGGGGATCAAATTCAGCGCATCGATTGAATTTCGGATTCTTTCAAATGCTATGGCTGAATTCGAGATATCTCGGATTTTAGCTGCAAAATGTAAATATGTAATACATCCACTTTAATATCTCGTTCGTACTTCAGTTTGCGGCTTTGTGCTCGATGATTTACCAGTAATTAGATTAATGAATGTCTGCTAAAGTGAATCAAATAAAGTTCTTCCTCTGATTTCTCTGTACGATTATGTCACGGATTCTGTGAATCCTGTACAAAAAAATCTGAATGACATTAGCAAAGGAAAGAGAGTCATCTTTATAAATGAATGTTGAAAATAAAATAACCTTGCACCAAATTAATTACGAAAGGAATTACTACTAGACAGTATATGGCTGGACTCAAACCAATTAATTGTTCAAATTTCAAACCAAATTAAGAACAATTAAGAAGAAAAATGAAGCAAGAATGTAAAATAAATGCAATTACAGGATTCTTGAGCATTAAGAATTGTACTAAATAATGGCCATTTTTGAACAATGGTTTCTATTCTAACAAATCAACAAACCAGATCCCATTTTTTCCGACTCTTTTTTTTTTTTTTTGGTAGAACATTTTTTCCGACTCTAAATCAAACAAGTCCGATCCTCATTCTTCAATAAAAAAAAAAAAACTAAAAAGAAAAACAAAAAAAAAAAACTAAAAAACTCCGATCCTCATTGCGTTTCGATTATCACAGACATGCAATAATATTAAGAGAAAAAATATATAAAATCCTAATAATTAATTAATGCCGTTATCCTTATCAGTATTAGAGCTTCCTTCGGCCGGCGGCGGCTGACGATCATGATCATCGGGGGTGTGCATGACACGCTGCAAATTCCAAACGTCGTCGTCCCAAACAACCTCTTCCCCTTCACCGTACATAACGTAGTCGAGGAGGTCGTTGACGTCCATGTTATGTTGAATCTCCCAAACCCGCCGGATTTTTTCGTCGTCGTACATCCACCGGTACCTTTCGCCCCAGTTCTATATGCTTCTCAGCTTCTCGATCAGTGCCCTCGGCAATGCCACGTGCGTAGTAACGGGAGTCTCCGATGACGACGGCGGCGGCGGCGGTGTTGGTGGAGATGGGTTTTCCATGGTTTTCTCTGACGAGGATGATGCCATTCTTTTTTAATTATTTACTAATTAAGAAGACTAAAATTAAATTAGGATCTTTATTATTCTTTCTACTAGTATAATTATAGCGTGTGTAACGACGTATTGTTTGATGATCATACATATAGGGAAAATGTGTTTTATTCGTTTCCCTTATTCTCGGACCTGGATTTTATTTTTTATTCAAAGTGAACAAATATATATTCCTTTTGTAAAGAAATAATTATGAAATAATTATGTTGATCGATATGGATCAGGATTATTTTTTTTTTATTTAGACGTAAAGAGGAGTCATATAATTTCATAGTTCATATTACTGAACACATCATTCTTTTTAAGTTTCGAGTAATGAAGGTTGAAGTTAGACAATATCTTCCAGACCATCCTTTGAACTTTTGAGCAATGAAGGTTGTAATATTAGACAAGGCTGATGACGATGGATTTGAGATGAGATATTACCTCCCAATAGGTTATTCTGGAGGCCTAACAGTTGAAGTTCTGTCAAGTTTCCCAAGTTGCCTGGGTATGACTCCATTGAGTGAGTTGTAAGCAAAAAAAACAACTTCTGAAGTTGTATACATTAGCCTATGCTTGATGGGATTTGACCCTATAACTTGGTCCTTTCTAAATAAAGCCACCAGAGCTTCGGAAGTTGTTGACACAGACCATCCAGAAGCCAACCAGCTGAAAAGTATTGATTATTTCACCTAGATCAATTATTTCCATAGATGACATGTTGAAGATCTCTGGCGGGAGGTTTCCCTGCAGGAAATTAAAAAAGCGGAGTCAATGAATGAGTACGTATAGGATTACTAAAATGTACTTCTTCCATCCCAAAATGATTTCAGGTGAAAAAATGAATTCTCAATGAAAACGGATGAAGGCTCCCTAGCCCCTGCCTGCAGATAATTGAAAGAAGCAATAAACACCGTCAACATGGTCATGTTGAGGCATAATATTCAATCTCATTAAAGGATGAGGAGCCATTCCAAGGTGAGAACTAGGGGTGTATTCGAGTCGAGTTGAGCCGAGTAGTAATATACTCGAACTCGAACTCGAAACTTTTTGATTCGGCTCGAACTCGACGAGCTCAAATACCTAAACTCGAACTCGACTCGCCAGCAAATTTAATGAGCTCGAACTCGACTCAAACTCGACTCGATAATTTTTTTTAATTGATCTTAATTATATTGATAATATGAAGTAAACTTACAAAAACTATTAGATTAAGAGTTGCTCCTGCTTACGTACGTACATAGATAGGAGTTCCAATGCTTACAACTTCTAATTTCTAATTCTAGATAGGAGTTCCAATGCTTACAGCTTCTAATTTCTAATTCAAAAGATAAGATGACCATTAGCTTAACAAAATAACCCCATAACACCTATTTCTAATTTTTATACAGTTAATGCACAAAAAATCATCTTAGTTATTAACAAAAGACACCAAACTCATCAGAGATCACCACACCACCCCTTTTATATTGTTTATACACTTTAATATCCAAGAGATCCATTTTCAAAATCAACAAAAGTTTACCATGCCAACCTGCAAAAGAGCTTGAAAATAATATGATTCGTTAGTTTTTAATTTTCGCCATCAAAGTAAAACACGCACTTCAACGTGAAAAAAGTTTAACTTTGTATTTCATGAGCTCTTGATAAACATTATCACAAGTCAATATAATGCACCAGAATCAATCTATCAAATCCTATAATCTATATGTTCACCATCTTAGAAATTTTTTGGTCTCCTTTTCAACACAGACAACCCACTAAAACTCTAGTTCAATAAACAAATTAAATGGATCTCAGATTAAAAGCATATATAAATTCCATACGTGACAATAAGAAACCTATTACATTAGATAAGATGCATGCTCAAGAAAGTAACAAGTTTGAAAATGAAGGCGTACCTAGTTTGTGCAGTAAAACAGACCAATGATATGTACCTAGTTTGTGCAGCAAAAAAGACCAATGAATCAATCTTTTAGGAAGTAGAATTTCCTTTCCGGACTTCTCTTTCTACAAAACAAAAGAAGTAAAAATCAATAAGGAACACAATTAGTAATAGCACCAGGCAGAATTTTAACTAAACTAAACTAAACTTACAGTTGTTTTCTTTGTCACCCCATGAAGATTCCTACACCAATCTCCACCACACATCAACAACTCCACTGTTTCTGGTAAGAGTGAGGCACGATGAGTATCAATGACCCTTGTATCGGCACTAAACATGGCTTCCGAAGAAACTGTGGTTATAGGAATTGCTAACACATCAATAGCAATTTGAGACAAAATCTTGTACTCTAACTTGTTTGCTTTCCACCAATTTAAGCAATTAAATTTTTCAGGTCTAGATTCATGAATGAAGCATTCTTTATCCAAGTAATCATCTAACTCAGATTTTTTCTTACCGCCAGCCTGCGTTGATTTAACAAAGCTTTGGGAAGTAGACCACGGAGATGAATTAATATCACATGTGTCTTTATTACTTGTGACATCACCTTGAGCTTTAGCACTAGCAGAAGCCATACTTTTAGCAGCCGCATCCACATATTCCTTATAAAGTTTACGCAAGGATTGTTCAACAAACTTTATATTGTCACCCTCTTTGTCACTTGGGTAAAGCTTAGGAAAACTGAAATTTATCACTGCCATCTTCTGCCTTGGATCCAAAATTGCACCAAATGCTATAAGCAAATTACACACCTTCCAATATTTATCAAACTTTTCCAGCATAGAATTTACCATATTTCGGATAAAACCATCTCCATCAAGGAGTTTTTCATCCAACCTTGACTTTATTTTCTGCATGTGATGAAGAAATAAGTTGGATGTTGGATAATCACTCCCAGATATAACATGTGTAGTATCCCAAAAAGGTTCTAAAACAAGGAAGACTTTTTCAACTTTCTCCCAATCTTCCATAGTCAGACAACTTTCAGGTTGTATTTGATCATCAAAAAAATGTGGAAACACTTCTTTGAACATCAATGCACATTTCAACATCTCATAAGTTGAATTCCATCTTGTCTTACAGTCAT